AGTATCAGTGCAGCCTCATCAGTGAAGTAGAAAAATTACTTCTATGCAAAACTAAGCTAAGAAAAATGTTTGGGTTTTTTTTTTTCCAAAACAATTTGGTAATTTTTTTGTTTATTTAGCAAACAACCCAGTGGTGATTACATTCCACCAAAAAAGCTCTTTGTATGAACAAAATAATATACAGTTTATTTGGGTATCGTTTTGAATGACTGAGAAATTGTCATTCAAATTGTGAGAGAGCAGGAAGCTGAAAATATGCCTGGACAAGAAGGGGGTGAAAGTGCCCAGGATTGAAGTGGTTAAAAACGCATGTTTTTCTGGTTGGCATGCACTTGCAACCTGGGGGGTTGAGAGGGAGCTGGGAGGGATCCTTTGGGTCTCACCAGGAGTAGTTTTCATTTATTTTCCATTTTGATCATTGTTGGGCATGTTTATTGATCTTTGATAATAAACATTTTTACATTTCTAATATAGGATAACCTTGGTTGTCATGTTTGCCACAGTTTCTTCTTTTGTTCAGTGTACGTGGCTTGTGGTGACCCCCAATCATATTATAGGGATAGGCACCCTTTTCATTGAGTGGTTTCCCCCAGCCAACTAATTTGCTTATAGTACATTGAAACATAGATATGTGCCTTTTTTTTTTATTCATTTTCCATTTATTGCAATGAGGAGCTGTGTTTTTTGGTGTGGTTTTGAAAAGTGCACCAAAGATGCAGCATGCAGGACTTTTCACATCACTATGCTGTAGATGTGTTGTGAAGAGTCCCCTGGGATTTAACTGCCTCCCGTCTGCCCTATAAGAAAATGATGGGAGGGTGGCGGTTCTCGTTCTAGGACGTCATCATATGATGTACTCCCACTCTAGCTGCGCATGCGCACCCCCAGCCATCGATGGTCCTCTGTGTCCCTGGGACACAGCAGTTCAACAATTGCGGTAAAGAGCCAATGACGTAGGCCCTATCGTGTGATCAGCTATGTCCAATCACAGCTGATCACATGTAATTAGGAAATTACAGTTATCAGCAGTCCTGTCCTCACGCGCTGTCAACGGTAACCGCCATTCCTCAGAGGGGACATGTACACTGATCATCAATCAATGCCACATGAGTGATGCCTTTCAGTGCCTCATCAGTGCTGCCTATCAGTGCCACTCAGTGCAGCCCAGTTAGCGCAAATCAGTGAAGGAGAAAAATTACTTTTTATAAAATTTTTATAAGAAAAACTAAGGAAATTTTTTTTTAAGATTTTCAGTTTAGCAAAAAATAAAAAAAAGTGATTAAATACCACCAGATAAGCTCCATGTCTTAAAAAAAAGGATAAAACTGTTGTTTGGGTACAGTGTTGCATGACCGCACAATTGTCATTTAAACTGTGAGTGCTGAAAATTGGCCTGGGCAGGAAGGGGGTGAAAGTGCCCGGTATTGAAGTGGTTAAAGGGAAATATTTTTGTGTTTTTAGCAAGGTATCCGTGTGAGAGGGCCCTTAGTTATACTATAAACCCAAAAGCAAACTTATACAGGTGAAATTTGAAAAATTAGAATATCGTGCAAAAGTTCATTTATTTCAGTAATGCAACTTAAAAGGTGAAACTAATACATGAGATAGACTCCTTACATGCAAAGCAAGATAGTTCAAGCCGTGACTTGTCATAATTGTGATGATTATGGCTTACAGCTCATGAAAACCCCAAATCCACAATCTCAGAAAATTAGAATATTGTGAAAAGGTGCAATATTCTTGGCTCAGTGTCCCACTCTAATCAGCTAATTAAGCCATAACACCTGCAAAGGGTTCCTGAGCATTTAAATGGTCTCTCAGTCTGGTTCAGTAGGAATCACAATCATGGGAAAGACTGCTGACCTGACAGTTGTGCAGAAAACCATCACTGACACCCTCCATAAGGAGGGAAAGCCTCAAAAGGGAATTGCAAAAGAAGTTGGATGTTCCCAAGGTGCTGTATCAAAGCACATTAATAGAAAGTTATGTGGAAGGGAAAATGTGGAATAAAAAGGTGCACAAGCAGCAGGGATGACCACAGCCTGGAGAGGATTGTCAGGAAAAGGCCATTCAAAAGTGTTGGACTTTCACAAGGAGTGGACTGAGGTTGGAGTCAGTGCATCAAGAACCACCACACACAGATGGATCCTGGACATGGGCTTCAAATATCGTATTCCTCTTGTCAAGCCGCTCCTGAACAACAAACAACATCAGAAGCGTCTTACCTGGGCTAAAGAAAAACAGACCTGGTCTGTTGCTCAGTGGTCTAAAGTCCTCTTTTCTGATGAGAGCAACTTTTGCATCTCATTTGGAAACCAAGGACCCGGAGTATGGAGGAAGAATGGAGAGGAACACACTGCAAGATGCTTGAAGTCCAGTGTGAAGTTTCCACAGTCTGTGTTGATTTGGGGAGCCACGTTATCTGCTGGTGTTGGTCCACTGTGCTTCAATAAGTCCAGGGTCAACGCAACAGTCTACCAGGAGATTTTGGAGCACTTCATGCTTCCTTCCACAGACGAGCTTTATGGGGATGCTGACTTCATTTTCCAGCAGGACTTGGCACCTGCCCACACTGCCAAAAGCACCAAAACCTGGTTCAGTGACCGTGGGATTACTGTGCTTGATTGGCCAGCAAACTCGCCTGACCTGAACCCCATAGAGAATCTATGGGGCATTGCCAAGAGAAAGATGAGACATGAGACCGAACAATGCAGAAGAGCTGAAGGCCGCTATTGAAGCATCCTGGTCTTCCATAACACCTCAGCAGTGCCACAGGCTGATAGCTTCCATGCCACGCCGCATTGAGGCAGCAATTGCTGCAAAAGGGGCCCAAACCAAGTACTGAGTACATATGCATGCTTCTACTTTTCAGAGGTCCGATATTGTTCTATGTACAATCCTTGTTTTATTGATTGCATGTAATCTAGTTTTCTGAGATTGTGAATTTGGGGTTTTCATGAGCTGTAAGCCATAATCATCACAAGTATGACAAATCATGGCTTGAACTATCTTGCTTTGCATGTAATGAGACTATCTCTTATATTTCACCTTTTAAGTTGCATTATTGAAATGAACTTTTGCACGATATTCTAATTTTTCGAGGTGTGTGTGATTATGGCTTATCCTTTTTAAAATGTGGTGGCTGCATTCATTTTCTTTTTAGCCTGCTTTCTATTTTCATCTGGTGATTTTGCTAGTAAGCCTTGATTTTCAAAAGAATAAGCTCTCTTGCAGTTAGAGAGGAGACAAACCATTTAAAGCGCTACTAAACCCACTGATTTAAGTAACAAAAAATTTACATTCCCAGCATGCCAGGAATGTGATCTGTCATATTTGCCTGTATTCTCAAACTGCCAAACCATCAAATAGCTGGTGTCATAACTGAACACGTGCAGCATCATGGCAGGTGAAGATCAGAGGCTAAGATGGCAGCTTCCATTGCTGAAAAGTATAGGAAGGTTTAGTTGCACTACAACATTGCAGGGGGGCTTACAATGATTAGCTTTTATGTAAAACTTGAGCTTCCGTATGTTTTAGTGTATATAAATCTGCTAGTACATCAAACACTCTTGGAGTGTGGGAGAAATGGAGCCCTTGTCAGTTTTTGTTTCCCACTAGATAAATTCAGCCTCTATCTGCCGTAGTTAGGAAGAAAAATAATTGGGCTGTGTTCAAACCTGTACAGTTTATTTTTTTTGGCATCTGAACGCAGCTCTAATAATCTGTATTTATATACAGCATATTCTAGATTTGCATTTAAGAAAAAAACTATTTCAGTCAAATGTGGATATAAGCATATTTTTACACGTGTACACATGAATCAGTGCTAATTGTAAAGGGAAAAAAGTTATTTTGCTATTCAATGTTGTCTGCATGTTTATCTGCATAAACATGCTTACATTTCCTCATAGGTGCATGTGTTGTTTTCTAGCAGCAAGATTCAGTATATTGGTAAACTAACTCAATGTGTCTCTACCCTTACAGTTGTCACCAAAGTGAAATCTTCCACCTGGAGCACCTGTACTGGTGACAGGCGTGTAAAAGATTGATTTTTTTTTTTTTTTTTTTTTTTTTCCTGACATTCTGTTGATCCCCTAAAGTGAATCCTCTCCAGTAGGACACGAAAAGAACCTGATCGGGGGTCTAACACCCACTTGTAAAACTAAAGTTTTAGCTTTAGATGCTTTTTGAAGCATGTCTGTGGCCAAAACCTTGGGCTGTATAACTTACATTGGGATAGAAGTCTCTTCCAGGCATTCACAGATGCAGTCCATTGCAGCAGCTTGTCAAAGTAACCCTTACCCTGGCACTGCAAGGGTTAAATTCTGAAGTCTAGGAGATGAGGAATCGTCTGTAATCTACCACATTCCTTGCTCCAGTAGGCGGCCTCCACAGTGTGACAGACCTTTGTAAGGTGTTCCAGACAGCGTTCACCCTGATGTCATCCCTTACAATGCAGGACCAGGTCTACTTTGTAGGTGAGGATGCACCTTTTGAGAAGCTCTGACAGCTCGGGGAGAGAAGAATAAGGTATTAGGCCTTTTCTTCTACTAGATTTTACAAGCATTCCATCCTTGCATTGTGGGGGGCTAAAACTGAATGGGTGGCTGTTTGTAATTCCCAGAGTTCAGCTTTGTAGCAAAACTGAACTTCTGCTGTAAGAAAGGCAAGCCGGCGGGCTTTTGGTTTTTTTTTTTTTTTTTGTTTTGTTTTTTTGTAGAAGAGACCTGCACTGACTTGTCTGCAATAAAATGCCCCTGTCTGCAATAAAATGCCCCTGTCTGCAATAAAATGCCCCTGTCTGCCTACTTACTGTCTTCTCTGGCACTGTAAACAGAGCTGTGCATGCACATCTTGGCTTACAGCACTGGACCGGTCTAAGTGCTGGGATGATGGCTTCCTACCTAGGAGGGACATCATCCCCCACTGGCCAATGAAGAGGTCTGAAGTTCTGCGCTCAGAAGATGGTGAGGGACCTTTGGACAGGTATTAAAGTGTTACTAAACCCACAACAGTAAAATCAGTCTGTATATGCAGTAAAGCATGCTTGTTATACTCATTGTAGAACCTAAGGGGTTAATCCTCTTCATTGTGTAAAAACGCAGTTTGATCCTGACTTCTCTGATCCTCCCCTTCTTCCAGTTTCTCCCTCTTACCTCCTGATGAGACATATGGTGTAGAGCAGTGATCTCCAAACTGCGGCCCGAGGGCCAGATGCGGCCCTTTGCTAGCCTATATCTGGCCCGTGCGGTTACTCTGTACATGCCCAGTTTGGGGTGTATTGCTAGAGAGGTTGTTTGTTTTTGCTTTTTCTTGGGATTGTACGTGTTCAGCAGAGGGCCAATCGGCACTGTCCAGACAGAAGTCAGGGGTTCTGCATCCTAGAGCAGAATGAGAACTCCTACAAGCTTTAACATGGTCTCGGCTGGACACTGATAGAAGTCACAAGACTGCTCTAACTGCTGATGAGCAAAAGTATTTAGCAGTTTGTATTTGCTAAAATGATTGCCCTTCCATGTTCTGTGTACTGTGCGAGACCAGATATAGTGAATCCGGGGTTTAGTAACACTTTAAGGCTCCATGCACACGGGGTATTTTAATAATGCTGGTAACGTTAGCTGTGTAAAGTCCAATAAAAACATGAGTTTTTGTATTAGCGTTTAGCGGCGTTTTGCTGCATTTTTTTCATGTGTGCGTTTTTTAGAGGGTTTTTTTTAACCAAAAAAAAGTCCAAAAATGCTGGTTTGCTGTGTTTTTCAGCGTTAGTGTTTTTACAAAAAAACTCTTCTAGAAACCCACTAGTTCAATGTTTTTTGGCTGGAAAAAACCCAAATTAGTCTGTGTGCATGGACACATAGGATAACATGCTGGGGAGTTTACTGGCTGTAGAAAAAAAGTCAAAAGCTAAAAACAGCAGCTGTGAAAATGTCCCGTGTGCATGAGGACTAAGCCTGTAGTTCCATTTTATCATAAACCTTTATTTTGTTCGCTATTGATGTTGGCTTCCTTCACTTCCTGTAGGGTGAAATTACTCCCAGGTATAGTAAGTGAGGGGAAGGCCCTAGAAATCTGTAAAATGTCTGAGGTTCTAATCCCACCTCATCCAAAACAGTCTCAACTGTAGAAACCCAGCCATGTTTGCGTGTTTTGCACAATTTTTAAAAAAATTACACACAATCCCCAAACGTTATATATTTTCTGAAGGCAAAGACCCTAGAGAATAAAATAGTAGTAGTTCCAATTTTTTGTCGAACGATATTATTGCAAAGGTCTAGGAAACGCTAAATTTCATTAAATACTTAAATTAATTTTAGGGCACAAAAAAGCAATAAATTACCCCATTTTTTTGTGAAATATAGAATGAGGTTCCACTGAGTAAATGTCCAGTATGTCAAACCTTAAATTTACGTGTGCTTGTGAAATGGTGACAAACTTCATTGCCCTATATTTTCTATAGGTGCCCCTTTTAAAGCCACTTTAGGTCATCAGTATAGTGTTACGGAGGATGTCTCATTCTAGAATTATTGCTCTCATTCTGGCATGTATATGTAACATGTATCGCAATGAACATTTTCATGCGTAGGCACCCCGGCATGCGCTTTAACTTATGTATGTGCATATATATGGATGTTATGTGCTTGGGTGCAACTTTGATATTTATTTATTTTTTTTTAACAAAAAAAAATTTTTTTTACTTCACTTATTTTAATCACATAAGGGACACAAAGTCCCATGTGATTTTTTTTTTTTTTAATATTTTTTTTTTATTTTATTTTTTTTGGTGAAATGTTTTTTTTTTTAACCACGTGCCAGCTGCACTATAGCCGAATGACGGCTATAGCGCGGTTGTCCAGTTCTGGAAGGATGTCGTATGATGTCCTCCCAGAACGCGCCCTCCCGCACACCCCCGGGGACGCGCACCCAGTGATCTCCATGACAGCTAGTCACGTGATGTGGTAAAAGGCCAATCACAGCGGCTTTTTACCACGTGATCAGTTGTGTCCAGTGACACAGCAGATCACCTGTAAATGCATTTGCCTGTTATCGGCTGCATTTTGTGGCAATTGCCAGAGGACAGATTGGCACCGATCATCAATGATCAGTGCTGCCCCGCAGCACCCATCATCATTGCACATCAGTGCCACCTATCAATACCAATCAGTGTAGCCTCATCAACGCACATCAGTGAAGGATAAAAATTACCTGTTTGCAAAATTTTATAATAGAAACAAAGAAACTTTTTTTTTTTTTTTTTTTTAATTTTTTTGCTTTTTATTTTTTTTTGTTTTATAGCACAAAAAATAAAACACCCAGCAGCGATTAAATACCACCAAAAGAGAGCTCTATTTGTGTGAAACCTTTTTTTTTTTTTTTTTTAATTTCATATGGGTGCAGTGTTGCATGACCGCGCAATTGTCATTCAAAGTGTGACCGCGCTGAAAGCTTAAAATTGGCCTGGGCAGGAAGGGGGTATATGTGCCCAGTAGGCAAGTGGTTAATGAGATATCCAGGGTCTAAAAGACCCTGCATGTCTCCCTTGTGCTCCCCTGAATGTATAGCAGTGTACATCACTCTGCATTAGCGGCTCTAGAGTGGAGTAGAGCCCTGCAGCAGAGGATTAAGGCCAGTATTACATCTTGTCTGTCTGCCCAGAGTTAACAAGCATTTAACCCTTGCAGTGCAGGGTGGTCCCACTGCAAGGGGTAGTTTTTGTTTTTTATTCCTAGAGTTAGGCTAAATAGTGTCAGATATGTAGTGGGGGGGGGGGGGGGGGGTTATCTTTGGGGAGTAGAAGGTGTGTGTGTGTGTGTGTGTTTAAATCCAATCCCCCTCTTCCCTTCCAAAGTGCCCCTCCGGTGCTTATCCTCTTACACCCTTGTTGCCTGACCCTGGCCACTCCTCTTCCCAGTCAGTGTCCCCAACCCTCTTGACAGACATTGTATATTAAAAATGCCGGCTTCTTGCCTTAGGAGGAGGTAGAAATGCAGGGATCACTCCACGTCTTGTCCTCTCACGCTACAGTTTTTAGAAACTACAGTTCTCATTCTACAAAGGGAATCTGAAGTGAATGTGTGCAGGTACATTTAGAGCTTGTGATTATAAGCAGAGGAACGCTTACACTGAGCATATTGCAAGCCTTGGGGGCAGAGAGGGGAGAAAAACTCCTGGTCTGTCCTCCCATGACCTCACTGGAGGCGGGAGAGACCAGGAGTCCTGGGCTATCCTTTTGATAATGCTGCCTCAGTGGGCGATTCATATGGGAGTCTAACTCTCGGATCAACCCATTATAGCAAGCAGGGATGGAATAGTGTCACCACTCCCTATCAAGAACTGCAGCAGGACAGAGACAAGACTGGTGGCTCTGGGAATACATGTCATAGTGGCCACCGATCTTACAAAATATCATAGGCAAGGGAGCCTGTGATTTGAATAATGCATGTCTATTTTTTTAGAGATGGATTGGAGAAATAATTAAACAACCTTTTGGCTGAAGATATGTAACCATCAGCAATTACACAGAAATAAAGCTGCTTCTTGGAGTTCATATTTACATGTATTTAGTACTGACCATAATATACCGTATTTTTCGCTCCATAAGACACACTTTTTTTTCCCCCAAAAAAAGGGGGGGGGGGGAATGTCAGTGCATCATATGGAGCGGCCGCTCAGCTCTTCTCTGCAGCAGGACCTTACCTGTTCCTCGGTCCAGCACTGTACAGTCTTCCCGCGCCGGCATGTTTAGTGTGGGCACCCGTCTGTGACAGCCGAGACGCGCTTGCGCAGTGGGCACCCGGCTGTCACAATAAACGGAGGACAACTCTGCGGAAGTGAGAGCGGGGTACCTGTCAAATTCAGATTCTCCCTCCCTCCCCAAAGGTCCAGTCTCTGGTCGTCCCCTGTACGGTGTGTCTGCAGTCTGTGGTCGTCCCCTGTACGGTGTGTCTGCAGTCTGTGGTCGTCCCCTGTACGGTGTGTCTGCAGTCTGTGGTCGTCCCCTGTACGGTGTGTCTGCAGTCTGTGGTCGCCCCCTGTACGGTGTGTCTGCAGTCTGTGGTCGCCCCCTGTACGGTGTGTCCGCAGTCTGTGGTCGCCCCCTGTACGGTGTGTCTGCGGTGTGGTCGCCCCCTGTACGGTGCAGTCTGTCTGTGGTCGCCCCCTGTACGGTGTGTCTGCAGTCTGTGGTCGCCCCTGTACGGTGTGTCTGCAGTCTGTGGTCGCCCCCTGTACGGTGTGTCTGCAGTCTGTGGTCGCCCCCTGTACGGTGTGTCTGCAGTCTGTGGTCGCCCCCTGTACGGTGTGTCTGCAGTCTGTGGTCGTCCCCTGTACGGTGTGTCTGCAGTCTGTGGTCGCCCCCTGTACGGTGTGTCTGCAGTCTGTGGTCGCCCCCTGTACGGTGTGTCTGCAGTCTGTGGTCGCCCCCTGTACGGTGTGTCTGCAGTCTGTGGTCGCCCCCTGTACGGTGTGTCTGCAGTCTGTGGTCGTCCCCTGTACGGTGTGTCTGCAGTCTGTGGTCGCCCCTGTACGGTGTGTCTGCAGTCTGCGGTCGTCCCCTGTACGGTGTGTCTGCGGTCGTCCCCTGTACGGTGTGTCTGCGGTCGTCCCCTGTACGGTGTGTCGGTGTGTCTGCGGTCGTCCCCTGTACGGTGTGTCTGCGGTCGTCCCCTGTACGGTGTGTCTGCGGTCGTCCCCTGTACGGTGTGTCTGCGGTCGTCCCCTGTACGGTGTGTCTGCGGTCGTCCCCTGTACGGTGTGTCTGCGGTCGTCCCCTGTACGGTGTGTCTGCGGTCGTCCCCTGTGCGGTGTGTCTGCGGTCGTCCCTGTGCGGTGTGTCTGCGGTCGTCCCCTGTGCGGTGTGTCTGCGGTCGTCCCCTGTGCGGTGTGTCTGCGGTCGTCCCCTGTGCGGTGTGTCTGCGGTCGTCCCCTGTGCGGTGTGTCTGCGGTCGTCCCCTGTGCGGTGTGTCTGCGGTCGTCCCCTGTGCGGTGTGTCTGCGGTCGTCCCCTGTGCGGTGTGTCTGCGGTCGTCCCCTGTGCGGTGTGTCTGCGGTCGTCCCCTGTGCGGTGTGTCTGCGGTCGTCCCCTGTGCGGTGTGTCTGCGGTCGTCCCCTGTGCGGTGTGTCTGCGGTCGTCCCCTGTGCGGTGTGTCTGCGGTCGTCCCCTGTGCGGTGTGTCTGCGGTCGTCCCCTGTGCGGTGTGTCTGCGGTCGTCCCCTGTGCGGTGTGTCTGCGGTCGTCCCCTGTGCGGTGTGTCTGCGGTCGTCCCCTGTGCGGTGTGTCTGCGGTCGTCCCCTGTGCGGTGTGCCTGCGGTCCATTGGTTCAGAATATTTTTTTTTATTGTTTTTCTCTTCTAAAACCTAGGTGCGTCTTATGGAGCGAAAAATACGGTATACAC